CACAAACCTCGAGATCATGACCTGAGCCAAAGTCAGACGCTCAACCAACTGAGCCACCCAGGCGCCCCCAGAGGACTTCCTAATAGCATTAAGTTCTAAAAATAACCTGAGTGGAATTTGGTGACAAGACAGAGGTAAAGTCTCATTTGGGAAATATAAGGTTTTTCAAAGATTCTCAGGTCAGGCAGTACTTCTCAGTTTTAGACAAAGTTCTACATTCCTAGATTTGCACAAAGTGTAAAGAGAAGAAATATTTAAATTTTTATACACATCCAAAGGTTGTTTATTTTTTTTTTTTGAGTTTATTTATTTATTTTGAGAGAGTGTGTGAGCAGGGGAGGGGCAGAGAGAGAGAGGGAACAGTGGAGAATCCTAAGCAGGCTCCACACTGTCAGCACAGAGTCTGACGTGGGGCTCAAACTCATAAACCATGAGATCATGACCTGAGCCCGAAACCAAGAGTTGGATGCTTAAGAGCTACCCAGGCGCCCTCTACATACATCCAAAGTTTCTTTTTTTTTTAATTTTTTTTTTAACGTTTATTTATTTTTGAGACAGAGAGGGACAGAGCATGAATGGGGGAGGGGCAGAGAGACAGGGAGACACAGAATCCGAAACAGGCTCCAGGCTCTGAGCTGTCAGCACAGAGCCTGACGCGGGGCTCGAACTCACAGACTGCGAGATCATGACCTGAGCTGAAGTCGGAGGCTTAACCAACTGAGCCACCCAGGCGGCCCCATCCAAAGTTTCTAAAAGAAGAGTGAATTTTTGTTTTCAACCACATTTATTAAAGTTATATATTTAAAACACAAAATTGTCCTGTCCATTCTCCTTTCTTATTAAGTTTTGACTGGCTAAATATGTATCCTATACTCTCTTCCTTGATCCACGTATCATTTAGATGAGGACCCACATTAGGCCAGAGATGAGGAAAAGTATAGCATAGGACATCTTATAAATGTTCAGTGTTCAGCAAGATAAGTAAATATAGAAACAGGACAATTATTAAAGCAGAGACTCAGTACTTAACAGAATAAATACTTTAGGTTGAGTGGGTTGAGATCCATTCTAGAGAACTCTCTGTTCTCCCAAGCAACCTATTAAGAATCAAACCAGGTCTAAAATTGAAATAAGGGCTTGAAGGGAACCTCAGGAGCCAACTCTCCCAAGCCCCTAGAATAGCGATTCTGAAGCAACTTAAGTTTTAAAATCACCAGGGTGCTTCTGTAAAAATCTTTACAAAGATTCCTAGGTCCTACCCAAGATTTTGGCTTAGTAAATGTGAGGTGGGGGTCCAGAAAGCTGCATCTTAAGTAGGTTTCACAAGTGACTCCCATGTAATTGAGGTGAGGACCACACTTTGAAAAACACGGACTTTCACATATATTGCCTTGTGTGAAATCTTAATTAAAAGTCATATTGAGAGGGGCGCCTGGGTGGCTCAGTCAGTTAAGCGTCTGACTTCACTCAAGTCATGATCTCATGGTCCATGAGTTCGAGTCCCAAATTGGGCTCTGTGCCAACAGCTCAGAGCCTGGAGCCTGCTTTGGATTCTGTGTCTCCCTCTCTCTCTCTGCCCCTCCCCTGCTCGTGCTCTGTCTCTCTCTCTCTCTTAAAAATATATTTTTTTTAAAATAAAAAAATTATATTGAGAAACACTAACAGAAATTTTTTTGTCAGTTTAACAATGGTAAATATCAGGCCACTTAAATACAAGAAAAACGTAAGTTATACACATCTACTGTTTGTGTGAGAGTCAAAAAAAAGAAAAAAAGAAAAAGAAACAAAATCTCTCTTGTATATTATATTCTCAACCATCCAAATTTGAGATTCAATCTACCTTTGTAAATAAGTAAAAACAAAACCATTTTTTTATCACACTGGGAATGTTTTAAGAATTCTGGGAGTTTTTGTCAAGATTCTACTTGACAGCTGGCAATCTGAACATCCTCATTTTAAAGAAAAGAAACTAAAACTGAGAAGTCTGTTGAATTGTTGGAGGCCTCCCAGTAATTTGGCAACTAACAGTGATTTGGCCTAATCTTAGGCCTATCAACCATATTAAGTTGCTACAGATAATGGAGTCAAGGTGTATGGGCTTGGAAGGGTCCATCTGAGTTGGAAGTTTCAATGTACTGAACATGACCGCTGGCTAGGCTAATGTCTTTGAACATTAATACTTGAATACATTGAATACAATTTAAACTTTTCAAACTCTGGTGGGACTTTATATAAAATCTGATTGCAGTATGATGGGGCTAGTACACACTTGTTTGTTGGCACTAGGTTTTTTTTTTTGTTTTTTTTTTTTTTTAAATTTTTTTTTTCAACGTTTATTTATTTTTGGGACAGAGAGAGACAGAGCATGAACGGGGGAGGGGCAGAGAGAGAGGGAGACACAGAATCAGAAACAGGCTCCAGGCCCTGAGCCATCAGCCCAGAGCCCGACGCGGGGCTCGAACTCACGGACCGCGAGATCGTGACCTGGCTGAAGTCGGACGCTTAACCGACTGCGCCACACAGGCGCCCCGGCACTAGGTTTTTAAGATAATAGAATTCCATTAATGTTTAAGCATATCTTATACTCATTCCAATGACCCAAAAGGAAAACATCAACTGTACTCAGTTCTTAATTGAGTGATAACAAGATACAAACTTGAGTCTAAAAGTAATTTTGTAATAGATTACCATGCTTGTTAAATTCAGATTTTCTATATATTGCCACAGAACAACCCAAATCTACTTATATATTTTTTTAGCACTTTGTACTGTGCCTGGCACACACTCAGTACTCAACAAATATTTTTAGTTGGATACATATATGGAAGTTATTGTGTTTGAAGTACTATATGTACAAAGAAACAATATATATCCCATACTGATAAAAGAAACAATATATATCCCATACTGTCATTATCAGTAGCCCTTATGAAATTACTTTGATTTGCCGCCTTTGGCAAAGGCAAAGACATATTTTAGAGGTTGATGATCCTTCAGTATTTGGTCCTTTTCGTTAAAAAGATGCAGAAGTGCTGACCAGAATCATGCATTAATATACAGAAGACAATGCTATGATCTTTAAGAACAGGTGGAAATCGAGTTTTAAAAGCCTGTTTCTCACATAGTAAAATTGCCTTTACCAAAATTCTGCCAAGACCTAATTCTATTTAAAAGATTTTTGTGTCTATTCTAGCCTGCTGGGATGCAGAACACTGATCAAATGGTTCCCTCATCTCTGGCAGTTTTCTAAGGCAAACAGATTTATTACTTTTTGTCATATAAGTGATAAAATAACTATCTAGACATAAGATTAGGGGCTGAATTCAATGGCTGACTTGTTTGCATTCTTATTCCAACGCAATTAATTTAGACAGAGAATGTTCCCTCATAAAAAATGCACACAGAGAGGGTACAAAAGAAATTCAAGTGACCTATCAGAATCATCACGAATACAGTAATTGTCTTGTGAGAAACCATGAAAAATTATAATTGGAAAAGTTTCAACTATATGTGAATTTGCAAAGAAAGAAAATTTAAAATGCTACGAGTGAAAGTTTTTGTAAGCAGAGCGTCCCTTACAAAATTTTTTTTGACAATTTCCATCCCTGTATTTATGGCAGGTGCAAATTGAAAAATAATTTTATTTTATTTTTTAAGTTTATTTATTTATTTTAAGAGAGGGAGAGAGCACACATGAGTGAGGGAGGGCCAGAGAGAGAGGGAGAGAGAGAACCCCAAGCAGGCTCTGCACTGCCAGTGTGGAGCCCCACATGGGGCTCAAACTCATGAACGGTGAGATCATGACCTAAGCCGAAATCAAGAGGTGGATACTTAACCAACTAAGCCACTCAGGTGCTCCTGAAAACTAATTTTAAAACATTTACTGGGGGGAAAACAAAAACAAAAACAAAACATTTAGGTACTACTATAGGCAGCACCCCCTCAGCACTCTGTGATGATGAAAATGTTCTGTATCTGAGCTGTCCCGATATGGTAGGTACTTACTCAACACTTGAAATGAGGCTGGCACATCTGAGGAACTGGATTTTAAATTTTATTTAATTTAAATGAGTTTAAAATTAAACTTAAATAGCCACATGATGCTAGTAGCATCTATCAAATCAAACAGCACACATATCACACTGACCAAAGACACTACTGAGCATTTTAAGCAACTGTAGAGAAGGAAGTTGTAAAGACAATTTTGCAATTGCTAAATCACAAATAAAACAATTTCTAATGTTAAAAATCTAAATATCAACTCTTAGAGAATTGATATCTATGAAATGTTTTGTACATCTTTTGTTTTAGAACTTTCTATCAAAAAATAATACTCAGTTATTACTAATAATAAAGCTATATACACATATATAGCAACATATCTTCTCATGTGCTAATGGAGGAACATAATGGGTATGTTACATCTATATCCCCTCTTTTTTTTTTTTTTTAAATCAATTAAGCCACTGACCAGTTGTATTATCTCTCAGAAATAACTGGAACAACAGGTTTAAGAGATATAAGGAGATTATGGGGACATAAACCTACCATGACCATTTTTCTTTGTTCATACAGCTTCTGTAACTGGTAGGACTTTTCCTCTGCTTTGATATAACCTTTTTTCACATCATCAACGGCCTGTCACCAAAACAAGGGCAGGGAAGAAAGGAACATCAAAGTCATTATCAAGCACATTCTTGACAAAAGAGATACAGATTCATTTCAGAATAACTTTTACCCATTTGGACCATCATAATCACCACCGGTGAACTCTGCCACGTGGATATATTTATTAGAATAAGCAGCACTTAAAGAGTGCCCAGTATGTGCTCAAGAACCGTTCTAGGCACAGGAGGGATCTTGTTTCTCATGTTAAGAGATTTAAATTCCACTTAATTTATACAGTGTAAAGATGAGAGAACACTGAAAGATAGTCCATAATTGTTAAAGGTAACAATGAGGTAGCAAAGATGTATGATAGTAAGTGATACATGTAGTCAGGATAGCAGAGCTTTTTGCTAATTGTAGTTATCAGGAAAGCCTTGATTGGACTCCAAAGGTTAGGCGGACAGAATAAACTACAAACAGAAGTCAGGAATGTGTTTGAGCTTAAATACATTCAGGAGACAGATCTGTCTGATTTAAATAAAGGGTATGTGTCAGGGGACAACAAAAGATAATGCTGGATGGGTAGGTTAACAGATTATGAAGGATCCCAGAGAACAGGGACAGGAATTTAAACTTAAGGACAGCAGCACTAAGACTACTGGAGCTAAAATAAGCAATAAAAATGTGTGTTATTTTTAAAAGAAAGATTGATTTGTGTATGAGTGCCAAATGAATCAAGCTAAGGAGAGAATGAAATAAGGGAGAATGACAACGTTATAGTGCTTTAAGCATGAAGTGAAACAAGACTGTAAACTAGGGTGGTAGCAACTGGAAGAGAGGAAGTAATAAATCTGAGACCCCACGCGGACAAAAGTCCCCAACAGGACTTGATACAGGCACGAAGGTATATAGATATAATACGCTAATTCTAAACTACTCCTGGCTCAGCTATACGAAACGTGCATCCCCTTCCCAACTTCACTCTACCCCAAGAAAAGCTTTTAAAATCCAATAGAAGGGAAAACTCATCTTTGGAAGAAAAAAAAAAAGGAAGGAAAAGAACAAACACAATCATTTGTCCAGGGCACTTGGAATCTAACCTCAGTGTTTTACTACAAGGACAACTTTTGCAGGCACCAGGCAGGGACCCGCTTGAATCTTTACCAGAAGGCTGCTAATTTCCTTAAGGTAGAAATCTATCCCTATATTTAAGGGAAACTATTTGCATAACGCAGTGAGTTCAGGGTGCCTGGTGGCTCAGTCAGTTGAGTGTCTGACTCTATTTGGCTAAGGTCATGATCCTGGGGGTTGTGGGATCATGCTCCGTGTCAGGCTCTGTGCTGAGCATGGAGCCTGCTTGGGGTTCTCTCCCTCTCCCCCCGCACCCCGCCCCTCTCCCCTGTTCCCACTCTCTCTCTCAAATAAAAAATAAAAAACAAAAATAAAATAACACAGTGAGTTTAGAGTTAAAGTCAAAAGACTAGTTCAACTTCTACCTCTGTCACCTATGCTTGAGTATGGGTATGGGTATGGTATGTAGCGGGAATGGGGGAGGAAACGTATCTAGAGTCTCATCTTCTATACTAGGAAATCAAGAGATACTGCTTGATTAAAAAATCAAGTAGGAGCAATATAATCAAGTTATAACAGAGAAATGGAAGTAAATATAAAACAAAACCAACAATAACAAACAAAAGCTAAAGGAGGTGAAAATGGTTGCCTAAGGGAGGGGGAGATGAAGACAAACAGGGTAACTAGTATTTTTCACAATAACCTATGTAGAACTATTTGATGCTTTAAACTTTATGTATGTATAATTTTGATGAAAAAAAATTTTTTTAACAAACCTGGTTACTTTTTAAAAACGGTGTTTTTTTTAACGTTTATTTTTTGAGTCAGAGAAAGACAGAGCATGAGTGGGGGAGGGGCAGAGACAGAGGGAGACACAGAATCCGAAGCAGGCTGCAGGCTCTGAGCTGTCAGCACAGAGCCCGACATGTGGCTCAAACTCACAAACCATGAGATCATGATCTGAGCCGAAGTCAGATGCCGACTGAACCACCCAGGGGCCCCTTGATGAAAAGTTTTTTGAAAGGTATATAGCCATATGCTAATTTCCTGTTGTTTAAAAAAACAGTAATAAATTTATTCTTTTTAAAAAAAATTTTTTTATGTTTTACTTTATTTTGGGGGGGAGGGGCAGAGAGAGAGAGAGAGAGAGAGACAGAGACAGAGAGAGACAGAGAGAGAGAGAGAGAGAGAGAGAGAGAGAGAGAATGTGAAGCAGGCTCCAGGCTCTGAGCTGCCAGCACAGAGCCCAACGTGGGGCTAAAACTCACGAACACTGAGATCATGACCTGAGTCGAAGTTGGAGGCCCAACCGACTGAACCACCCAGGCGCCCCAGTAATAAATTTATTCTTAACTCCAGCACATCTTTACTTCTTAAATTTATTTATCTTTTGTTAAATGGGTTAGAATATTTTATTTGATTCTTTTTTATTTTTTAAAGATTTTATTTTTTAAGTAATCTCTACACACAATGTGGGGCTTGAACTCACAATCCCAAGATCAAGAGTCACATGCTATACTATAGACTGAGCCAACCAGGCACCCCGGGATAGAACATTTTAAAAATGTAACTTAACTAAGATCCAGGAGGCAAAGCAGCTTGTTCAAGGATTCACATTGAATTGGCAAATAACTCACTACATACAAGCATAAAAAGCAATCAGGCCTTTCCAGGAAGATCAATTCACCCACCTGATGAAAAAAGTAGGTAACAGCAAGGTCATTGTCATTTAAGAGGATTTCTTCTTCTGTCGTAAAAAGCCACTTTCGAATGGTCAGGCAGGTGCCTGGCACAGCTGATGTGTAATTCTGGACGTAGAGTTTATGAGGAAATTCATTAGGTGCCAGCTTACGTACTGAAGACCAAAAAAAAAAAAAAAAAAAAAAAAAAAAAAAAAAAGGAAGAAAGCTAGAAGATTAAAGATATATAAAGAATTTCCCTAGCATAAACTGTGTAAAGCAGACTAAGAATGGCAGGCTATCCTTAACCAGAACATCAGGTTAGATCCATTAAGCAGCCTGCTATGGGACCACAAAATAACCATTTCTCTACCTAAATGTATCCCTTCTAACTATGACTATGGCCAGTTGAGTCTTAAACTGACTGAAATCTATCACCTGTATGACACATCCTTCAGTTAACATGCAGACTGGGCAGACAGCATCTATTCCAAAGTCAATTAAAATATCTTATCTATTATCTGGTAAGTTACAGTGATGTCCACTGAACATCTTTAAAGCAAGCCTCTCCTCTTACCCAGCTATGGAGCAATCAGAGTCTCTCATGTGGCAATTCCCTTGTTTGTTAAGAGCTGAAAGGCTCTCCCCAATCCCCATCCCCAACTCTAAGACATTCATCAAAGTGAAAAATGTCTTCTGAGTAACGTTTCTTCCTCTTCCTAACAATGCACAGGCAGGATAAAACACTATCACATTTAATTTCTATATTGATTTTCTTAAGAAAGGCTCAGAGTTTTTTCTTCTTTTGATGCTTACTTGACTTTGTAACACTGCAAAAAACAGATTTAATATTTCCCATTTTATTTCTTAACTAAAGCTTAGAAAAAAAGGATAAGATTAGAATCCAAGTGCCCGGTTCCCTAGCAATCCTTTGTAACATTTATATCTGCCTAGTTAGACCATAGGGAGTTGGGAAGATGAAAAACAATAAAAAGATGGCTGCTTCACGGAGAATCAACCTTGTTTTATCTTGACCAGGGATGGCAAGGTCTGGTCAATCAATATTATCTATCGTTTCTGGCCTTAGCCCCATGTATATGTGATGTGGAAAAGACCCATAAACTATAGGAAATCTATGTCATTCATAGCAAGCACTCAGACTTCCTCCCTTTTGTGATCTCAATGCAACCAATGTGGCCACCATCTCTAGCTTTTATAAAATAACATATGAGAAACTTCCTGCCAACGTGCAATAAAATTTCCTAGAAAGAGAATGTATATTTATATGGAAACTTAAATATATGCATCAACGCAAAGACTTTTAAGTAATGTATCTTTTTCTGACTCCTGAAAATAAAAAGCTATTCTTAACTATCTACAAAAAGCATAAAGTACACCAAAGTAAGTTGTGGCTAGATAGAACACCCCTCTTTTTGGCTATTTCATTGGAATATATTACTTTTGAACCCCTGATTTAAAATAAGTTCATGAAGTATCTGTTTCAGTGCTAGGTATAAGTAAGTTATACTTACAAAAGAGGAGAAAGGATCATCAGTGATCAGACACCTTTCTGACTTGGGCGTAATAAGATTTGCCTGGTCTGCTTGTGGGAGACAGTCCTAATGAGTGTGATCTCCCCTTGCCTTCAAGCTCTTCTTCTCTAAGCAAATAGTTTCAGTCTGACGGCTTCCGGGAGCTTCAGTCTGATAGTATTAGAATAAAATACTCACAAACAAAACTCAGTATTAGCCGACTGACACTTACCAAAGGAATGATTGATCACTTCAAATAAGGCAAAGTAATTCACCGTTGTACTGTCCATGCCAACCTTTGCTGCAATAGCCTATAGGGTAAACAGGATAGATTGGTTTCAGGGTAACTAAATCAGACAAGCTATGGGAAAAGACAGGTATGTGCATGTGCAGGGGGGAGAAGGGAGGAGTTTTGCCATCTCAGCTTCACATGAACTAAATTCATGGTCTATACCTTTTCTTTTTGTATGTATGTGTGCACACACTCATGCATACATATGTATGACATAAAAGGGGGAAAATACCTATATTTGACCAAAATAGATATAATCTCTAAATATGAGTTTCCATGTCCAATTCAAGCTAATAAGCTTTCCTTAAATATCATCTTCTTTCTCTGAAATATGATTTCATCCCACAAAAGTCTTTTTTAACAGCACTTACAAGTAATGTGCTTCACAAGAACAGACCTTAAGAAGAAAATAAATTCTTAAATATCCAGTCTCATACATATAACCTACATTTATATTTATTTATTTGTTTGTTTATTTACTTATTTTCATTCAACCTACATTTCATACAGGCTGTTAACATGCAAAATCTTTATCTTTGGTTCTTGAGCCGAAAAGAGTTTGTCAATTTTGTTCATGCTTCACAAATTGTTCTTATTTATTTTTTGGATGATCCATGCCTCAGGCTGAGGATCTCCATTTCCTAAGAATTACTATCATCGATATCCACATGAAAACAGCAAAATGTTGTGACAACAGAGACATATTAAACAAGTATCAGTCCTCCTCTCTAGGAGCTAATATGACAAAAAGCAATTGAAAGACTCCATGTACAAATAAAACTAAAATTACAAATATCAACAAAACTCAAAAAACACAAAATAGTACCACAATTTCTTTTCAAGATCAATCCCAATATAAATAAGGTATTAATTGAACAAAATACAATTGTGGAATGTCAGTGGCTCAGTAGACCAAATATAATTATACCATTCTCATTCTCATCCCTGATGACACTATCAACGTTCTAAGTTACCATTCTTTACTGCAGTGAATGGAAACTGAAATGCTCTCTGGGGTTGGAAAATGGTTTATAGCTACAAGTCTCAGTAAGCGGATGAGGAGAAAAGTGCTGCTCCTCACCAAAAGGCCTTGCTAGAGACAATTTGGGGGCGAGAGGGAGAAACAAAGAATACAAAACAAAAACATCAGCAACTTGTAAAATTAACATTTTCCTTGCAATCACTTCACCCTTTTATAATTTCAGAAATACCTTGAATTCTGCACATACCCTTTGCCATGGTATACAATACATGAGTAAATGTATGGGGAACACATTTTTGTTTGCTACAAAGGAACAATAAACATTAATATCCAGAAACCTGTTAGTCTCCCTGAAAATCTTGATCACATCAGGATAAAGACAAAAAGGCCTAGGCCTAAAAGCAATGATTATATCTAGCACCCAGATCATGATCTTTAAAATGTAATTTCTCACTGAAAGAAACCAGGACTCCTTGAGGGAAGTGGCTGATTATAGATCTAGGATAGGAAATACACAAAGATGAGGCCAGAACACCTTGTTGTACCAAAAAGCAAGGATGCTATCATAAACAAGTAAGTTGCATCAGAAGAATACAGGAGCAGATATGAAGGAGCTTCCACTGGCCAGAGATGAAACAATCTGAGCATCGGAGATGATACACATGATTGATTACATAATACTGAATGTCTAAAACCCACAAATACTAAAATAAAATAAAAATAACATAAAATAAAAGTAAAATAAAATAAAATAAAAATATCTCATTGGATATCATTGGAATCACCAACATCACACTCCAATGCCAACATTACACTCTGAAAACTGGCAATTAAAAAAATTAAATATTTATCCTCTCTTTCCTACAAACTATATTTTAGGATAACTACATACATAGCCTTAGTTGGTAAGGAAAAGTTCTGTATAGAAAAATTCTACCTAACAAATATGAAGAAATGACAGAAATAATGAAATTACTGGTTAAGGCAACAATCATCAGTGTATAAACTCATCTGATTACAGGCCAATGGGGAATTTTACAATAGAGAGCCCAGGTTACCACCATCTAAATAAATGCACCAATTAATCTCAGTATCACTAAAAATGGGACAACCAGACAGATACTGTGTACCTCCTGAAAGCAATAGGAAAGATGTATCTCACCAGTTAGGAAGTATTCTTATAAAAAAGCTGAACCTACTCGAGCTCTCTAGACAAAACTTCCATTCATGCAGAATGTAAGGAGATGCACATATTAAATGACACACATAAAAATAAATAGATAAATTCAGAATGTGGGACACTGCACAACACAGACCCAATTTCTGCAACAAACTAATAACATCTAAATAAAAAGGTGGGGAAGGGAAGGGAAGCTGCTTATATTCAAACAAACATAAAAACTGGGGCGACTGGGCGGCTTAGTCAGCTAAACATCCAACTTCGACTCAGGTCATGCATGATCTCATGGCTCGTGGCTTCGAGCCCCACACTGGGCTCTCTGCTGTCAGCACTGAGCCTGGAGCCTGCTCCAGATCTTCTGTCTCCCTCTCTCTCTGTTCCTCCCCTGCTCGTGTTCTCTCTCTCTCTCAAAAATAAACATTAAAAACAAAGATAAAAAACAAACCTTGTTTAGATCCAGATTTTAACAAACAATAAAAAATCATTTTTAGATAGCTGGAAATATTGGACTATGGATTTGTTATTAGTTAATGCCAAGGAAATACTGTTAACTTTTTAGGTCTGATAATGGCTTTTGTGTTTATGTAAAAAGAATGCCTTTATTTTTTAGAAATTTATACTGAAATCTATATAGGCCCAATAAAATGGAATTTGCTTTAACATATTTAAACAGGGGCACCTGGGTCGCTCAGTCAGGTAAGCATCCTGACTCTTGATTTCAGCTCAGGTCATGATCGTGGGTTTGTGGGTTCAAGCCCTGCACTGGGCTCCGTGCTGACAGTGCAGAGCCTGCTTGGATTCTCTCTCTACCCCTCTCTCTTTGCCCCTCCCCCACTTGTGCATGCTAGCTCTCTCTAAATAAACATTTAAAAAAAATAAAACATTTAAACAAAGGAAAAGAAAAAAAAGATACACGTATAATGCAAATGTGGCAAAATCTTGATGGTTATTAAATATGAATGATGCGTAAATGGAGGTCCACTGTACTGTTCTGTTTATATTAAAGTTTTCTACAATTAAAAAGAAGCAGGGCTGGGGCACCTGAGTGTCTCAGTTAGTTAAGCATCTAACTCTTGACTTAGGCTCAGGTCATGATGATCTCACAGTTCATGAGTTTGAGCCCTGTGTCAGGCTCTGTGTTGAGAGCGCCGAGTTCTAGAGATTCTCTCTCTGCCCTTCCCCCACTGGCACTATCTCTCAAAATAAATAAATAAACTTAAAAAAAAAAAAAAAGAAAAAGAAAAGAAAGGGGGGGGGGTGCTAATTACAACCACTACGACCCAGGATACATACTGTACTTTTCTTTAAAGGAGGGCAAAGTACTTTCACATTAATAACAATATCAATAGTAGTAGCTCACATTTAATAAATTTATGTGCCAGATAGCCCAAGCACTTTATTAACTCATTTCATTAACTCATTTCATCCATCCTCCTTAGCTTCATACCATCCAATGTTGAGTCTACTTGTTCAAGTTTAATTTACCTGATACACTTGGTCTGTGGTACTGTTCTTTTTAACCCTGACTGTAACTGTTGTTCCATCTGGTAATGCTACTCTCAGTTCTACGTCGGACACACCATTGTAGTTCTGTGGGAAAAGACACAGAGACATAATTTGTAACTCAGCATATCCTCACTCTCCTTACAACATGCTGACTAAGCAACAATCTAAACGTGTGATAGAAAGTTAAGTTCCAACGAAAAGGGGATAAAGACACCTTAAAGTCAATACATTTTACAAGTCAGAAACCTGACTTCAGGCTGCAGCAAAAGTTAACCTTTAAGATGAACAGGGAGGAAAGAAACATGTTAAAGCCAGTGTGTCCACATTGCAAAATGGAACACTTGTGTGAGGCAGTCTAGGTCAAATACAGATGACATTTTTGGCCTACTTCCAAACATTGAGAACTCACCATTGAGAAAAGAAAACAACTGGAAGCAGTAGTTTTGACAAAAATTTTGTGGTTTTAAATGGTTAGGCATGCTAGATTGGCTCAAGTAGTATAAGTTCCTCCCTGAACTTAGAAGGAATCATGACACCTCTGACAGGAAAAATGGATGAAAGGCAGGAATCTGAGTTAAAGTGATGCCTAGTTTTCTTCGAAAGAGTAAACAATTCTTATCCCTTAATTCAGAAGATACTTCTTTCTTATTGCTTTTGATGATCAATACATTCCTCTAGCTTGTAAGTTTGATTAGAGAGAAACTATTGAGGAGCAAGTCCATCTTTGTTTATCACTTGAAAAATGGTGCTATCTATTGTCTAAAACCATCCTAAGCATTAATTACAAGCACTTGTCTGCAAGAAATTTATAACCTAGTTGAGAAAATAAGACATACACATATAAAATAACTAGTAGATAACGCACTATTTAATATAGCAGCATTACATCTTCATTCTTCTATTCAATTAGTATTTATTAAGCACCTCTAATATGCTTGACATTATTGTAAGGCACTGGGAATACAAAGATGGCCAAGATTTAGCTCTTGGTCCAGAGCTCTAATGTATAATACCATGGTGACCAGAGTTAACAATACTATAATGTATACTTGAAATTTGCCAGGAGGGTAGATTTTAAGTGCTCTCACCACACACAGGACAGAGAGAGAGAGAGAGAGAGAGAGAGAGAGAGAGAGAGAGAGAAAGAAAGGAAGGAAGGAAGGAAGAAAGAAAAGGAAGGAAGGAAGGAAGGAAGGAAGGAAGGAAGGAAGGAAGGAAGAAAGAAAGAAAGAAAGAAAGAAAGAAAGAAAGAAAGAAAGAAAGAAAATGGTAACTATGAGGTAATGGATAGGTTCGTTAGCTTGACTGTTGTGATCTTTCACAATGTATACGTACATCAAATCATCAAGTTGTACACCTCAAATATAGATGATTCTTATTTGTCAATTCTAACTCAATAAGGCTAGAAAAAAAGACTTAGCTCTTACCTACTGGTAGTTCACACTGTAGTGAACTAAAAATATAAAGTAATAATTTGATTATATGTACACAAAATGGGAGAATAGGATAGCAACAAGGTGATGATTGAGTGGTCTGACTGCAAAGGTTCCTAAACCAAAGACTTGAGGGGCACCTGAGTGGCTCAGTCAGTTGAGCGTCCAACTTCAGCT